TACGTTATTAAAAAATGTAGCAGCAAGTGGAGCTGCAAAATTTATGACCATCAAGTACCTCAGATGTTTCATAACAGTAGCTAAAGGATATCACAGCACCAGTGAATGGTTACAGCATACAACAGTAAAGCTCCAAATCTTGCCTCTACCACATGCTCCAGTAAGTAGGTGACATAGGGGGGAAAAAAAACCAAATCAATAGTAAAAATATACTCCACCCTGTGTTTGAGGTTCCAGCTGACACTCCTTTGTTATAATTCAGACTTGATCTCACTGAGCTGGATCAGGAAAAGGAACAGGTAGAAAACTGACCTCAAAAAAATTTAGTCTTCTTCTGACTTTGCAACTCCTTGAACTGGCTCACTATGGAGCCAGATGAACGCCAGGTGCAACTTCAAATGGGATGCAGAAATAATCTTTGGGGTCACATCTCGCCATTCAACTGATTGCCTAACTTAGTGATGTAGTCTGATCCCCACTAAGCCCCCCTCGCAACCCCAGCCAAGACTTTACACAGACATTTTTTCTCCTACGGCAAAATACTGATCAAATATTTTTCTCCTACGGCAAAATACGATGGGGTTTCCTCCTAATGCTCTTCTGCCATTCTTCCTGCTCTGTACCAGGACAAGTTGATGAAAAAACTCTTTCTTGTTCCAGTCATGCAATCCAACCAGTTAAAAAATTAAAGTTTTCAGCAACTGAGACCCATGTTCCACACGCTCACACTATCAAGGCAGTTGTGCAGTAAAGGAAAGGACCAGCAGGGTCTGCTATGTTCCAGCTGCTACTGAAACAGGTTTCTTTCTACAGAACTATGGCCTGACTGCCACTTAATCCCATGGCAACAGGATGAAGTGGCTCTTCTTTCAGTCATCTCCCGAAAGATGCAAATGAGTAAAAAAAAGGAATTCCCTAAAAAGAAAAAAAAAAGAAAAAAAAGGAAGAGCAACTAAATTGATGTAAGGGGGAGAACACATTCTTACAAGATGGTGAGCCACACAATTGTCCTGATTTATATTCACAGAATTGTTAGGGTTGGAAGGGACCTCTGCAGATCCTCTAGTCCAACCCCCCCACCAAGGCAGGGTCACCTATAATGTTTCACACAGCATTTAAAAGCTCCATGAAATCAACCAGAAGTTGCAACAAGAGCAAAAAGAATCCCTGTCATTAAAAGCTTATGAATGCATGCAAGCAACAAATTATTAAATGTTAGTATGTTGAAACAATACTGGCCCCAAAACCAAGTTCCCCAGTTTGTACAAATCTCTGCAGGCATTGTGGCAAATGGGTTTTGAAACTCCCCAATACTGAGGCAGATTCAAAGATATTCAGAATTAATTTCTTGAAGCATGAACGGAATCAGTAGCAAAGCATACGTGTGCTCATATGAAAATGTATTTCTTGTAAGGCAGCAATAGAAGCTAAACCAGACATTTAGGAGTGGGAGTTTCATCTCTCTGTTAAGTGGACTTGGCTGTGGATGAGGCTGTGACAAGAAGTGAAGACAGAGAGGCAGCCAAAGTTTGATGCAACACAGGGGAAGGCAGCACGGGGAGGGTGGGCAGTCAGAGGGGACCAAAGTGACGAGCTATAATAATCTCTAACAGCAGCATTCTGAATGCATAAAATACCTTCTGATAAACACACATTAATCAGGGTAATTCAAATGTCACGGCTGATGTCCACAGCAGTTGACTAACAATTGATTATGTAATTTCTAGTTAAAGTTTTTCATCCTTCTTAAAACACTAAGATCTGGAAAACCTTGGGAAGAAGTCCTGAACTTCAGGTAACTTTTTTTATCAACGGACACTTTGGAAGAACTCGCAACTTGTTGTAACTACTGTCCAACAGATGAAGCATACCAAGTTTAGCAATTAAGGGACTAGGATAGGAATGATCATTAAACTCCTGTGGTAGTCAAATTTCTCCTAATTTAAGCTTCTGTAAGACCCTGTTGCATGCATAAAAACATGAATAGGCTTAAGTTCCTTATTATACTTATTTGACAAAGTGTATTAGCCACCAAATACTAACTTCCCATGCCTGAATTAGGTTCTACCCCTGCATGCATGTTATTGGAACTACTTTTGCAACCTTAATAATAGGGTAAAACCCACAAACTTTGCCTGAAGCTTACCAGAACTTCAATTCTATTTAAAAGCTTACTGTTCTATTAGTAAAGCATCACATATTGCAGAATTTCAATTGCCATTGTAAATAAAAAAACCAAAATGCACAAAAACCCACAAAACTCACTACAAGGCAGCCATAAAAGATATTCCTACAGACTAAAGAAATTCCTGCTTAGTTATTTACCTTAAAACTCTACTCAAATTCGTATCCTCAACTGGGGCATTTAGATGCCCAACATTACTCTTTTGTAAAACATACCTTCTGAAGGTTAAAGTGATCACCATGTATGTAATCACTTCTTTTATACCTATACAAAGATAGATGCTAATCTGGCTATGTTAACATTTCAGCAATTGAAAATTTGTGTTCTGACGTTACACATTTTTACAAGTTTAACAACTGTAGGTCACTACCTTATTTGTTAAATTGGGATGACAAGTCTGGCACCCATATTTATTTTTGATCTTATAAAACCCTACACAAATTTGAAACTTGCACCAAACGGAATGAGATTATTTCCCCATCTTTATAACCAGGAAGATGGAACCACACCACAGGATGTCACACTCAACATGCAGAGCTGGGTGAAGGAGGAAGTGAGGACAATCGGAGTGATGGCCATTTGTCTTCCCAAGTCACCTCTGTCTGTGATGGAGCCCTGCTCCCCTGGGGATGGCTGAACACCTGCCTGACCATGGAAGTACTGAATGAATTCCTTATTTTGCTTTGCTTGCATGCATGGATTTTGCTTTCCCCATTAAACTGTCTTCATCTCTACCCACAAGTTCCTTCACTTTTACCCTTCCGATCCTCTGCCCCATCCCAGCACAAGGGGAGGGAGTGACCATTTGGGTTGTCCTTGGTTTCCTGCTGAAGTTAAACCACAAAAGCCACAAATCCAGTAAAGATTTCAGCACCTAGACAATCCTTCACTGCCAATAGCTTACACCTAACTGCACAAAAAATAGCTTCCTCTAACTGTGGTCCATATGGAGAACGGCAACTTACTGACATCCGTTCCCTCAGCGAAGGAAGTCATGTCTATCTGGCACACAGACCCAGAAATATTAACCCAATCTGACTGGAAACAACACAAGTAAGCCTAGAGGACGTATCACCTCCTATGATTTACGTATTATTCAATCATTTCCTTCAGAGGACTGTGTCTTTTAGGGTAGAGTCATCCAAATAACTGTACAAAAGATGCATCTGTGTTTTGACAAGGAGTATTACTTCATTTACAAAGTTGTCCAATTTCACACTGAGGTCTGAAGACACCTGTATCCTTCAGTAAGACTATATCGTAAAATTTTGTTCCAGCTTGATGTTTCCTCGTATATTAATTATTCCTAGTCTTTTAGTATCACAGCCTTTGATTTCCTAGCAGTGATCCAGCAAAATCACAGTACCTATGGTTCTAGTCACAACAGGCTTTTTTCAAAGCTTTTGTTACGTGAAGCGTTTCAATATAAATGTTGATTACTAACCCTATCAACTAAATACTGGTAACTTATAGCTCTTACCAGGCATCTATCTTGTTTTTAACTCTGCTGAGGGAAACAGAGTTAATGCGGAACTACCTCAGGGGATCAGAGTTCACCATTCCATTATAGATACAGAATTTTGATCCCATGACTAATTTCCCAAAACAGTGGTGACATCAACACGGTAACATTAACATTTCAACAGGAAATAAAAACTGGCCTTCTGACACCACTGATACACATTTTACTGTGAACCTGAACCTCGCCATAGGTGTTTTGTCACCTTTTGCAGTTTCACACAAGTTTGGGTCAACTTTAATGAAAACTTCCTTTTTTTTTAACGATATGTTTAGGAAACAGTGACATGGCACCCAAATTCGTTACAGGAACCTAATAACATGTGATATTTGAGATGAAAAACATTCAGCTACATTTTAGTAGCCCTGGCACGCTCGGTTTGGTTTGTGTGTTTTTTGGGTTTCATTGGTTGCCTTTTTTTTTTGTTTGTTGGAGAGTAGGTACTCCTTTGTTTTCTTTTCCCACGAAAACCAAACGAGCTTAGCTCCGTCCAATTCAACTCCTTTCCTCTCGCAATCAAATTCTCTCTGGTCTCCTCCACACGGTTCAACGGCGGCCATCGGGCTCTGGACGACTGGATTCAGGGGGCTCGGTGGGAGCCACCCAGAGGGCAAAACCAGAACCGGCGTGGGTGCTAGAGGTCTTCCACACGCATGGCCGGGGTTTGAATTTAAATCCCTGGGGTTTTTTTGTTCTTTTTTTTTTTTTTTTTTTTTTTTTTCACTACGGCGTTCCCGGCGTGGCGCCCGCTCCGCCGCCGTCCTGCGGGGAGCGACGGCGGGCGGGCAGCGAGACAGGGGACCCCCGGGGGGCGCCGGGGGACGCGGAGGGGGCGGCAGGAGAAGGGGAGGGGGCGGCAGGAGATGGAGCTCGGCGGCAGCAGCAGCAGCAGCTCCGCGGGCGGGCGGCGAACAAAGCCCAGGTCGGCTCCGCGGCGCGGCCCCGCCGCCAGCGCCCGCACCGCGCCCCGGGCACCGCCGCGGGCGGGCAGGGCACGGGGGCTGCCGAGGAAATACACACACGACGGAGACCCCCCACAACACATCATGGAGACCCCCCACCACACACACACACACACAGACGCACACGATGGAGACCCACACAGGCGCAGGGGCGGAGGTGCCGCGCACCCCAGCGGGGCAGCAGCCCCCCGCCCCCGCGGCGCCTTCTCCCAACCCCACAGAGCCGCCGCCTCCCTTTTTCCCTCTCTCCCTCCTTCCTTCTTTCTCCCTCCTTCCCACCCTCTGTCCGTCCTTTCCCTTCCCTTCGGTCCGCTCCCCTTCCACCTGCGCCCACCTGCGGAGCGGAGCAGCACGAGGGCCACCCCGAGGAGGAGCAGCAGCCGCGGCGGCTCCACGGGCTCCATGTCGCGGGCGGGAGCGGCGGGCACCGCGCTCCGTGCGCTCCGTCCCCGGGCTCCCGGCGGGCACCTCCCCGCGCCGCCCAGCAGGTGAATCAGCCCGGCCCGTCACTTCCGGCCGGTCCCCGCCCCGCCGCGCCCCCCGCGGCCGCTCCGCAGCGCCCGCCCCGCCGGCGGCACCTGCGGCCGCGCCGGGGCCGCCCGCACCCCGCGCCCGCACCCCGCCGGGGCTCCCTGCCCGCTGCCCGCCCGCTGCCCGCCCGCCCGGCGGCACGGACGGGGCGCTGCTTTGCCCCGCGCGGCCGGAGCTCCCCGTGCGAGCGCTGCCCGCGCTGTCCGGAGCGGTGCCGGGGGTGCGGAGGGCACGGCACCGCTCCCGTCGGCGGGCGGTGGTGTCCCCCCGCCGGAGTGACTTGTGCTGGTGCCCATGGCAACGCCGCTGTGGCAGCGCCTTGCGCTCCCCTTGTGCGGCGCACACGCCTTTCCACTGAAAGATCTGGAATTGCGGAAATCTGGCGAAAGGGAGACAAAAGGGAGGCGAGAGGGTTGGCGGAAAGGGTGCAAATCGGGCTTGGCAGCCCCAGCAGATCCCGGAAAAAAACACGGTTTGTGCTCCACGCACAGCCAAAGCATCAGTTGTGTTTATCAGAGGACAAAGACGACTTGACGAGGTTTATTCTCCGTGAATTTATTGCCATGCATATATTACTATATACTGCAATAGCACAGCTGTTCACTGACATAAATGTGTTTCCAACACTTACAAAGGGCTAAGTTATGTTGGTATCATGTGCTTCATTAGGTCCATGCTCTGTCTATATTAAGAAGTACCCACAACCAAATATTTACATAAATGCAAAAGCTGTGCAGTCCAGATTTGCATTCCAAACAAATTTTGAAAGGTGTTACTGGGGTTTTTTTATTTTTTTTTGTTACGTCCATAACAAATAAAGTTCAAATACATTTTTATCTGATTATGCTCCATATGTACAAGATAAGGGTTTAAAACGAAGTTTTTTTCTGGCCTTGTCGAAAACATTAGATTAAGTGGATATCATATACTCATGGGGTTTTCTCCAAAACACTTAGCTAAAAAGGAGGTGCTATACCTTTCTTTCAGTAAAGGATTCCTAGTGATGACATCAGCAGTGTCTCCATTTCTGCTGGAATTGTGAATATATGAATGTGCAGTGACGTCTTTCAAAATGGTTGGTTTCTCTCAGTAAAGCAGTAGCTTTTACCTGCCAGCTCAGAATTAGGTTTCTGATAAGTAGGGCAAATTCATTGTGTTCCATGAAGGCTCAGATAAGTAGTGCTTACATCTTGTAAGGACATGACAATTCACAGTGTCTGTTAGATCTCCTTTTAAAAACAAATCTATCCAATAAGATGCTGGGTACCATACATAAAGCACAGAGTTTTAATTTGGAAGATTTCAAGCGTTTCATTTAACAACAGAACAGAACTACCCTTCCCTCCTATGAGGGAAAAAAATATTAATGTAATCTGAAGCTAAAGGAACTAGAACCTCAAAGTAGGGGTATTAAGAATTTGTTTGCTTCTCTTATTTTGTATGTGCTGCAGACTTGTGCTTTAAAGAGTAATCTGACTCGAGTATCCCAGGCTGACTGGATGAGTGAGGTTTTTTGCTGTACATCCACTTGTTTCAACACAGAAATTATATACCATGGAAAGTATAATGAGGCAATCACAGTCATTACAGAAAGAGAAAATGATTCGTCATTAGAATGGAGATGCTCACCCTCCTGTGAAATAATTCCTAGCTAGTAATTAAAATTAATACTGTACTGCATCTAGAAGACGTGAGCTCCACATTTTGTCTAGCCTAGACAGACTATTCCTGGTCTCATTTAAATCAAAAGCAACACTGATGCAGTCATGTTCACACTCCTGAAAATTGTTCACAGTCCTGCAAATGAAGAGTACAGTGTTTAATAACTATTTTTAAAAAGCAAAAAAAAAAATCCCTTTTTCCACACTACAAACACTGGTCCAGCTAAAAAGACATAAAGCCACCAGATTTATTAAAGGATGTGACACTCTGTAGATTTTGAGTGACCTATACTTCCTGGAACACTGAACACAAAGAGGGAAAGAGATAACTGTGAAAATGACCACTCACAAAAGGAAAGGTCAGGCTCAAAACTTTATGAACTGATTTCTACTAGTGCCAGCATATTGGATCAAGCCCAAAAAAGGCTCCAGGGTGAAGGCAAAATCCAGCCAACAAGGAAAATATATCCACCAGAGCAGAAGTCTGCAATCCAGACCCATGGTTTGCAAATGAATAATTATATAGAATATTTAAAATTAAGAAAAACTTCAGTACTAGCCCTACATCAGTCTCAGCCTAAACTTATAGATAGCTTGAAATAAAACATAAAATCAATTTTCTAAATTTTTCCTTATTTTTAAACGAAAAGCCCAAATTCAGAATTTATAATGAATTTACAAAATGGTGTGGTGGGACTGTTTGATATATCCAGAATTAAACTTTTCAGAACCTGAATAAAATGGTTTGCATAGCTCTGCAACTTGCCTCTACTTTTTTAAGAGAAATTATCTACCAACCTCAGTTGTTGAAGAATTTGCATTCCTGAAAATGCAAAGGAAAACAGGCTGATTTTGTATTCCAGTTCCTGTCCTGTACGGGAGGAAGCTACTGTGGTCAGACACTACAATTCCCGAGAGAAAATTCCCCACAGGACTGTTACAGTTCCTAATATGGATAACAACACATCTCAAGAAGGACGAGAGAAAAAAATAGGGAAGATAAAGAGTAAACACTTATCCTTGGTTCTTTGGGTCTGGAATTCTACTTTGGGTCTGGAATTCTACTAGGAGGGAATCACTGCAGTTTTTTTCTGGGACACATCTTCTTCTGGATCAGCAAACTCCATTGCTTTACTCTTTAATTCAGGTCAGAGTCAGTACAAGGGAGGACACGGGTTTATTTGGCCAGGAGAGGGGGAGTGGGTAGGAGAGACCATTTCTGTTCAGCAGTTGCAGGATGCTGATGTTTCATGTGTATCCACCTGGAGTTTGGTCATTTAAATTGGGGGTGCCACAGTCCTGCTCCCTCCAAACCCAAAACTCCCACGTGTGTACTTGTGCTGGCACTGGAGCTCGGGACACCAGCAGATGAGATAGTTTGGGAAGCCAGGCTGGCCGAAGATGAAGACCTTTTGTTTTCAGCCGGCTGAGCTCCCTGAACTGTTTTCCTGCTTATTTGCCTGAGTGCCAGCTGGCATTAAAAAAAAAAAACAAAACAAAAAAACAAAGAAAAAAAAAAGAAAACCAAACAAATGAGGTCTGGGTGGCAGGGAAAGGGCAGGACTGTGAATCAGCTGGGATCGGTTTAAGTTGGCACCACATCTAGAGCGGTGTGAAGGGGAAGGTCTAGCTTGTGCACCCATTTTTTTCCAAAATAATTTTGGCATTGCTTATACTGGCATCCATGCCCTGATGTGAGGAACAGGCACTTGTTGTACTAAGCTTTTTGGTGCTATCTGTCCTTATCAGCACTAGTTAACCCAGCCCAGGGCGAGTCAGGCTGATATGCTGAAAATAACTGCCAAAGTCAAGAGGTAGTCCACATTAAGGTCTCATCAGCTTGGGGAGATTACAACAAAGGATCTTTCAGAATGCAAAGTTACAGAGCACTAAGTATTTCATAATAAAGCTTGGAGTGCGGGCTCTCACGTTGTGTCTCAGCTGGCAGAGCCCGGAGCAGCATCCAACTGCTGAGAGAAGCCTTCCAGCCTCCCCACTGGGACAGGTCCAGCGAGGGGTCACCACCTCCTTCCACCACCCACCACCACCTCAGCTTCCCCACGGAGCACATCCCGGTGATGCCTTGGAGGAGTCACGGGTCTACACGCCTGGGGTGATGGGATGACCAGGTTCTGCCTTTTCTTTAACAACCTTGGCCCGCTTCCAATTAAGCTTTCATGCACTTACAACCTTTTTATAATGATAACTAAACACAATCCATTACCAGGAAAAATAAGAATTAAAGGAAAATTTATCCAACAATAGCTGACGTTTAATTGTCTTTAATTTGGGTTAATGCTTTTCAGAGATGGTTTATTCAGAGTTAAAATAACAGCTTTCACATTTAGCACCTCAATCAAGTGACAGTTGCTCTCAGGGTAAAATTCACACCTTACAATGCTCCTCTTTTTGGAGAGACAATTTTTAGCAGAGACGTTTTAAAAGGGCAGCAATTTACACCTTTGTCTCCCTGTGATATTAAATCTTAGATATATAATTTGCCTGGAATAATTTTCTCTCAGGGGCTACTTGGATGTTTGCATCATTTTAATGCAGGAACAGCAGAAAGAGGAAAGAAGGAAGAGCAGTTCCCCTACCAATGGTGGTTAGAGTTGACCCAAATGTAGAGTTTTATATTTATGTGGTGAAAGGAAAGCAAAATCCATACAATATAAACTAGATGTGGGTTGTTTGAAATCCAGAGGAGGAGTACATGGTGTGATTTGTTTTTATAGAAATATGGGTGCTACACATCTTTTGTTAGTTATGTATTTCATTGTATACGCTCATGACAGTAAAAGTGCAATGTCTGTTGGCTGGAACATTAATACAATAGACAACACAGACCTGTCCTGTTGCAAACTGTTTTTCACCACAGTGACAACTCTATTGAAGAAATCTTCCCTTAGAAGGAGAAATAGATGTGATGAGGAAGTGCGTCTTTAGTAGCTGATCTGAAGATTTTCAGTTTGAATTCATTACTCCTTTTCCTATTACTACAGTTCCTGATGAAGAGCCTGTCCATCTCCAGTTTCCTTTTAGTTCCCCTTCTACTGGAAGGAACCCTTCAGGGAGTACAGTTGAACAGGAAGAAAATCACAGATATGCCAAAGGCAATGGACTTTCGTACTTAATCCCGCAATAAAGTCAGTTTTAATAGTGCAGAACTAGTAGCTGATGGTGTCTTGGACAGCATTATGAACTCTCAGATTATTTTGTTTGTGCAAGGCATTTAAAGATGGTGCTTTAGCACTTACCAGCCTCTTTGGTGTCTGTATCTACC